ATTATATACTAAAGCAGCGCAAGCTTTTGCTATAGTAAGGAGGTTAAGGATGCCTTAGACTGCTGTAGCATTAATAGACGTCTAGTATACTAGACTAGGGTATATTAGGAAAGAAGCTCTAGAGCAAATACTATACGCAGTTAAAAAAGTAGTACTTAGCACTTGCGACTTTAAACGGACCTTAGAGCTATATCCCGAATATTAGCTTGCGCAAGTATATTAACAAATTTCACGTGTTCTAATATAGAGAGGAACCTACCTATTTAAAAAGGTCCACCTAGATTTTATTTATATAGAAAAGGTATTTAATCTTAATATATAGGTTGTATATTTCTACTGCAACTATTTAGTATACTATATCTTTTTTAATCTCCTATATAAAACGCAAGAAGAACTAGTTATAGTAACGCAAGAAGAACTAGTTATAGTAACGCAAGAGTTCCTTACTATTATAAATAACAACTGGGGCTTTACTATATAATATATCTATTCGGATAGCGAGAAGGAACTAAGCCAGCGGTAGAAGGATCTTATAATTATAAGAGGAATTACCTTTAATCTATCTCCACCTAACACTTTAGATTAAAATAGCCTTATAGAATATTCTGGGGGGGTAATAATAACTATAGCTCGTAAGCTCCGTATATAAAGCAGACTACCTTATAAGCTCTAGCTATATATAGTGGCTTACGCCACTTATCTTCTTAATCGCACCCCTGTATAACAAAAGCAATAGCAAACACCTTTTAAAATAGTATATAGCCGTAAGCTAAATCTCTTATATATTAAAATTATTGGATTCCTTGCCTATATCTTAATTAAGTATAAAAGAAACTGTCCTGTAAGGGTAAAGCTGCAGGATAAGGTAATTAAGGGATAGCTTATTAGACTAAACGCAACTAATATCTATAAAGTTTAGATTCTATATCTAGATCGGGTTATTATATCTCGGGATATATAAATAGATAAAAAAGTTATATTTAACCCGCAGCTTTCTATAAGCCTCCCCGAGACCGGATAAGCACTCTTAATTAGTATTAATAAAGTTAATCTAGATAATATAGATACGGAACTTTAACTAACAGAAAATATAAGTGTTCTTAATCCTGATTTAGTTTAATATAAGGTTCTATCGGCGTTTTTGCTATTTCCGCAACTTCTGTTAGCATAAATAGCAACAGGGATATAGAGTTAAACAGACAGGCTTTATGCACAGCTATATTCTACTCCGATATTACTTAGATCTAGACGACCGAGCATAATACCGCAAGACCCTTCCTATGCCACGGCAACTTAGCACACAGCAAATTCGGCTTAGTTACTCACTGCACGCCAGGTGCAGAAGAAGGCACGGCGACAGGTACATGCCTTGCAACTAGAACGTGCCAAACTAGGTCAACAAATAGTCCATGCATTCGCATCGGCGCGGACTCTAAGAACTTATTGAAAGGACTTGATGCCACCACCGGAATTCTGGTATTAGCTAAAGCGTTATCTAGAGAGGGACAGTTTTAAGCAAGCTACAGATGCCGAGATTAAGTCACTCGAAGGCAAGCACACTTTTGAACTTGTTGATTACCCGGAGCATAAACAAGTGCTACCGCTTAAATGGGTTTTCACGTATAAATTCGACGCTGCTGGCTACCTTATTCGTCACAAAGCTCGAATATGCGTAAGAGGCGATCTTTAACACAATGTCTCTGACAACATCTATGCAGCCACGGGGGCGTATCGGAGCTTTCGTATCCTTATGGCACTCGTCTGTGCGTTCGGGCTTCTATGTCATTAAATTGACTTTAAGAACGCCTTTATCAACGCCGATATGGACGATAAGATCTATACTGCCTGTCCACCAGGGTATGGAACGCCAGGAAAGGTTTGGAAATTGCTTAAAGCGCTCTACGGCCTGCGAAAATCACCAAAGCTATGGTTCGATGAACTCGTGTCATTCCTCAACGGTCTGGGATTCAAACATTGCCCAGATGAACCATGCATCCTCATCAACAACGAGACAGGCCTTATCCTGTTTCTCTACGTGGACGATCTCCTTGTTATTTCAGAACAAGGACGCGTCCACCACATCAAGCAATTCAAGTCAGCAGTAAACAGCAAGTACGGGATTAAGGATTTGAGCGAAGCAATCTCCTTCCTCAACATCAGGATCCTGCGAGACGCAATAGACAAAAAGCTTTGGATCTGTCAGGATGGATATATCGACAAAATCTGCACCAAATACGGGATAGACAAGTCACAGAGAATGGTTCATACACCTCTCGCTTTGTCATATCGTCCCCAACCTTTCGAAGGACAGGCTACTATGCAGCAAGTTACAGAGATGCAGGAAAAGGTAGGTTCGATATTGTACGCAGCAGTAGTATCAAGACCAGATGTCTCGTTTGCAGCCAGCCAGTTGAGTCAGTTACTCAGGTTGAAAATTGATGTGAACTCTGTCTTATTTCGGGGGCCCGAAGGCCAAACTATATACTACGTAGGAAGTGACTGTATGCATAGGCAGAAGCACTAATTGGAGGCAGCAGTAGGCAGCAGTAGGCAGCATTAGGCAGGGTAGGCCACCGTACCCCAACCCCTCTCTGTAGAAGTTGTAACTGGCTAGGCATGTAGGCAGCTACTATGCCAGCAACTCCAAGTCTGTACGTAGGTGACCGTGAACCGTATGAGTTGTTGATCCTAGGTTGTAGCTGTTACAACCCGAGTCAGTTCGCAACGAACCCTTCACCAGAGCACTTGCGATGCGCAAATCGAGTTCTCTCATATCTCCAGACCACAAAGTACTATACCATCGAGTTCTCGGGCTCTGTGAATTCCACAGCAGTAGAGACAGGCGATGATGAAGTGCTGCAGCTGTCAAGCGACGCATCGTTCGCGGATGATCCAGAGACTCGAAAATCCACGCAAGGTTACCTCATGAAGCTGTTCAATGGACCGATTATGTGGCAGTCCTCTAAACAGAAGACTGTTACAACATCTACAACTGAAGCAGAGCTCTTGTCGCTGTCACACACGGCGAGGGAGACAATAGGTCTATATAGGCTGTTCGCACAGGTACAGTTCGATCCAGAACAACAACCTCGCATCCTCTGTGACAATCAGCAGACAGTAGGCCTGATCCAGAAAGAGAGGCCACAGTTAACCTCGAAACTAAAACACGTCGATATCCATAGCTTATGGCTGAGGCAGATCTATCAAAGTGGCAAAGTTGTAGTCCAGTGGGTTCCGACCACGGGCATGCCTTCGGATGGCTTCACAAAGCCCCTCTCAACAGAGAAACACGCACACTTTGTACGCCAACTAGGCCTGGTTGATATCTCATCGCGGATTGATCCAGGATGCGCATCAGAAGAGGATAGTCCACAAGACGTTCAGACCTCATCTGAAACAGAGTGAAATCTGGGGGGGGGTGTCGCAGACCAAGGCATCAGCCGTGGAGGCCTGAGGCAAGAACTGCATTAATAAGCTTGCCATCAAAGCTATATAGAACGTCGGGCGGGGTAACCCGACCGACGAGAAGAAGAGACCACACACACACAATCAATCATACTCTGCTGCTTGATATCATTTCCAATCCCGCTTCATCCCGTGCACACCTAAGTGCGACATCCTTAAGGTAGATCCAAAATTCACGGCGATCCGAAACGCCTTAGCACAGTCGCTCTAATCTGTTCAAAATGTAGTCTATTATTTAGAGCGTCTTTGGAAACCCTATATACACTTGTGTCCAGAATTCCTTAAGGCTTAGATTGCACTTCAACAGGCTGTTAGGACGCTAGCATGGATAAGGCTTAGCGCTCTCGCAGCATAGTGACTACTTCTCTCTGTAGCTAGCTACTATCAACAATCAAGCCTTTTCACCATTTGAACACTCTCGTGTCTTGCTTCCGGCGTGCCGGCAGCACTGCTACCTAACACAGGCAGAGAGAGAAAGTATATTTTGATGAGGGAAACTTTGAGCATTGCAGTCTTCACATCTAATTGGGCCAAACCCTGCGGTGTTTCGGATCGCCGTGAATTTCGGATCTACCTTGAGGACGTCACAGCTTGAGCTGACAACCCTATGGCCGGAGCGGGTCGGCCGTCCTCCTGTTACGGACACTCCTACACAGCCAGCCAAGGGGCAGAAGCGTGTCATCCAGTGGGACGACGCGGAGGCATGGGCGGAACTACCGGTTCGCGGCCTCAAGAAGTGGAAGGGATCACGTGAGCAGATGGCATGTGATCGAGGCGGTGAAAGGTGATCTCTCTGATCTGGCTTGGCACGAGGGAGCAGAGGGAGCAAAAGGTGATCTCTCTGATCTGGCTTGGCACGAGGGAGCAGAGGGAGCAAAGGTGATCTCTCTGACCTGGCTTGGCACGAGGGAGCAGAAGGATCAGGACTAAATTGTATGAAGGACGAAAAGACTATAAAGAGTCTGAAGGATCTCCTTTATGTTTCTTTCTTCGTACTCAATTTCCAGTTTGTAACTAACCTTGACCTTTGGAAGCCAAAGTCAAGGACGGCCTATTGTTTATTTGTTATTCAATCCCCAAGTTATCTATTGTTAAACACGACCCTCCTACCCACTGAAGCCCCCCCGCTCTATCTCGACGTTCCGTCTCCCAACGCCTAGCAAAGCCGAACTGCGTTGACCCTGTGTCACCTTCACGCACGACTCGTAAGTCATAGGACCCAGGAGCTGTGATCCTAACCGTCCTGCATTCCCTCTCGGAAAACACTTGGTGTGATCTTTAGGAAGATAGTAAGCGTTTGTTACACCTCCCTACTAGCATAACTGATGCGTTTGTCTACCTCTGCTAACTTTCAAGTGGCAAAACTTTAACACGTCACAGTGACGTGGTTCTATAAGTTAGTCTGATTAGAAGATGCTCGAAGATTTTGTTGTGGCAAATTAAGAAGCTATATATTCACCTGGATCCCGGGCCCTCTCTATGAAATAGAGACAAAAAAGAAAATAAGAATAATAACTTAACTCTTCATAAACGCTCTAGAGTATGTTAAGCAAACTTTCATATATCCAGACTCTTCCAGTTCCAGCACCAACGCCGATTGTTCTATCTGACGTCGCCGAACATAATGGCCGATACTCTGACGGCAGCCATAACAGCTTCTTAGAATTATGTGTTATCCAATCCCCATCTGAACTCAACGCTAGGCCTTGATATCTAGGCTTCTGAGCCTCTATGACAGCTGGTGTACTACTTGAAACTAATGGTATTGCACTAACACTGATAGTACCAATTTCAGTGTGAAGATACAAACCAGTAGTATCAAAAAATATGTTTCTAAGCGCCTTGTCAACATTGAGCGTCTGCAGGCACGCGCCGCTGTTTACATCCCAGATCTTGACTGTATTGTCGTCTGACGCCGACGCCAGCCGTGTTGAGTCGTGAGAGAAGGCCACTGACCTAACCCAATTGCTATGGCCCTTAAGCGTCTGCAGGCACGCGCCGCTGTTTGCATCCCAGATCTTGACTGTTCTGTCACGTGACGCTGACGCTAGCCGTGTTGAGTTGTAAGAGAAGGCCACTGACTCGACTGACCAGCTATGGCCCTCAAGCGTCTGCAGGCACGCGCCGCTATTTGCATCCCAGATCTTGACTGTATGGTCGTTCAACGCCGACGCCAGCCGTGTTGAGTCGTGAGAGAAGGCTACTGGCCCGACCCAACCTCTATAGCCCTTAAGCGTCTGCAGGCACGCGCCGCTGTTTGCATCCCAGATCTTGACTGTACTGTCACGTGATGCCGACGCCAGCCGTGCTGAGTTGTGAGAGAAGGCCACTGACAGGACCCAATCGCTATGGCCCTTAAGCGTCTGCAGGCACACGCCGCTGTTTGCATCCCAGATCTTGACTGCACCATCATATGACGCCGACGCCAGCCGTGTTGAGTCGTGAGAGAAGGCCACTGACCAGACCCAATCGCTATGGCCCTCAAGCGTCTGCAGGCATGCGCCGCTGTTTACATCCCAGATCTTAACTGTTTTGTCATAGGACGCCGACGCCAGCCGTGTTGAGTTGTGAGAGAAGGCCACTGACTGGACCCGCAAGCTATGGCCCTGAAGCATCTGTAGGTACGCGCTTCTGTT